GTGCAAATGTTTGTGATTAAAAAAAAATTAGTACAGTGGAATCTTGGTATAACGAACTTCAGGGGGCCACAACAATTTTTTCGTTATATTGAAAGGTTGCTATCGTGAAAGCCCAAAAATTGACCATAAATACTTATTTTCCACCAACCAAAATGACTTCCCTTTAATATGGTGGGTCCTTGAACTCGTTTTTCATGAAAAAAAACAAATGCAGAAGTGAACACTAAAAAATGTTTGTTTACTTAAAGATGTCATGATTTTTTTTGGATGAGCTGGAGGTGAAGGCCTCGAGCTCATCCACATTCCTATGGTGCGATTCAGTTGTGCGATCTACTTCCTCGCTTAGCAAAACCTGCTTCCCCTTTTTTGTCGCAAGCAGACATAAACTCGTTAGGGTGCTTTAGAATAGTGCACTGCGAGTACTTGCGGTGCGGTCCCTGCCACTGTGCATGCGTCGTAACTTGAGTCGCCAGTCGCGTTCGCGGCTCACCTGCAGAAAATCCGAAATCACGGCCCCGTGTGCACCCCGCAAGCGCTGGTTTTAAGGCTACGGTGTTGCTACGACTGTGCGTTGCGGTTTGCAGGGGAGGGGGGGGGGGGAAACACTATTCTAAAACTGATATGGCGGCCGCTATGCCTGCGACGCCCGCAGCACCTGCAAACGTTATTCTAAATCTGCCTATTGTAGTAGCACCACAGTGCATGCACCGACTTGCTTTGTGGACGCGATAAGTAATCACCGAAAAGAGATGAACACAATTGACAAGGCCTCCTGGAGCACATGTAGAAGGGACAAAGATAAGAAAAACCCGAAGCGCATGGCTGTCATCGTCTCTTCCGAAGAAAAGCAAGAGCTAAAAATAAAAAGATAATTCCTCACGTTTCGTTTTCTGCTCCCTGGCTGTCTCAGCCGATAGTTATAGCGTGAGAACAGAACGACGACAAAGAGACAAGAAGGACACGAGCACTTCTTGTCTCTTTGTCGTCATTCTGTTCCGGCGCTATAACTATCGTCATGTCATACCAAGTAGCCCAAACTGCCACACTTCGCTGTCTCGGGTTTTCCACGCCCATGCTTTATGCTCTGAAACTCCCACTCTGCCACTGACCTTGCCCTCCCGTGTTGCCCTCGCCCCTCGCCTCGGCGCTTGGAGACCTGCAGCGTTGGCGCTTCAACAAAAAGAAAAAAGTCATCATTTTGTTTTTTTTTCTCGTTCGCATCGCCGTGCGTGTTCCGAGAAGCAAGGCATCCATTCGCTGTGTCGTCTGCTTGTGTACCGCTCTGGTGGTCGCTACGGATTTCAGAACATGAGTTCGCTGTACCGAGGCGTTGTTAATATAATGCAGTACTAAAGTATCACTCGTTATTCTGAAAAGTTCGGTATTCTGAAGTACGTAGTCGTGAAATATTTTACATTGAAACTATTAGCAGTCGGCGCGAGATTTTTTTAAAGGTTCATTAATCTGAAAAGTTTGTTAATATGGGGTTCGTTCTACCGAGATTTCACTGTATGCCGCAGATTGGCACACAGTACAACTGTCTAACATAAACAGCCCTCGAGTTGATAATTAGAGTTTATTAACAGGTTTTCATCAATTAATTGCAAATGTGTCATTTTAACCACGGCAAAGTAATTTTGCCATGACTTGGAATATGTGTGAAAAAGCGACAGGAGTGTTACTTCCATTGCATTTTTATAAGAAATCAGTATTGTCTAGAGAAATATCACCCTGTATTCAATCAGTTAACACCAAAACAAACTAAATGACTTGTCTGACTCTCTGTGTAATGTAATATCCCATTGACTTGAGTCCCTGGGAAAATTGTAGGAGCCCTGCAACACTTTTCCAAGTAATTGTTGAATAGCTTAATTAAAAAAGCTAATTGCCATATGAATGAACTGTCACTAAAATTTTTATAATAGGTTAAGTGCAAGCAGAGTTGCAGGAATCGGTCAAACACTTTAAGCGCTTTCTCCCTCTCCTTTCATACTAGTGGGCAGCTGAAGGAAGGAGCATGCATCAATATTTCTGACACAACTGCTCAACTATATGAGCCCCCAGGGTTATGCTACATGTTTTGTTGCTTATCGCTCATAGCAGTGTGGATGCAATAATTTATTTTCCATGAGCGTAGACATACTTCCTTTGCCAGCGAACTTATATGTGTGTAAAGAAAGCAGTATATTATTTAACATAAAGTTCACTTTAAATATTTTACGCACTGCCTTTTCTACATATGTTACACCAACTCTAAAAATCTGTTGCGCACATATCCCTATGTTGTGAAAATGTGAGTCTGTACAAACACAGTAACCTGTTGTAAATACCAAGGGTGTGGCTAGAATTTTCGCGGGGGTGGCGAAAGCAAAGAATAAAGCAAACTTTCTTTGTTTGTGTGCATGTGTGTGCACATATGTGGAGTCAATTTCAAAATTTCGATGGGGGAGGGAGGTTTCGACCCCCTCTGAAATCCCCGTACTACACTCAAACCTTGTTATAACGTAACGGGACATAACAAAATAATGGATATAACAAATAAATGAACTTTCCCTTGAAAGCTCCATTGAGAACCATGCCTTTTAAACCTCGTTGTAACGAAGTAAAATTGACCAATAAACAGATATAACAAACTAAATTAGTCTATCTAATAGTATATAAAAAACGACCGTATTGTGTTAAGTGTAACGTTTTCTGCGGGGTTTGACAGTCGTTTGGCACGGCTGTTTCAAAACTCCTGCGCTGACCTTACCGCCACGCCCCGCGCGGACGAGAGAGCCATCATCCTCACACAGCAAGCCGAGAGGATTGAGGAAGCGCTCAGCGGGTCACATGATCGAGAAGCGGCACCGCAGTGCAAAGCGATTTTCCTCTCACAATGGCAACGACTGCGCCGCCGCTTCTACCATGGCTGCTAGCCTTTACACCGAGAGAGGGCTCTCTGCAACAGCTTTCTTTTTTTTTTTCCTCTCTCTCTGCGCGTGGCCTTGACAGAAGAAGGGTCTCTACGTGCAGGGACGAAAAAAGGAGAAGCGTGGCGCAGGCGCGTCGTAGATCGGTATTTGAGAGAAAGCAAACAATCCACTACAGTCTTTTTTTTTCCTTCTCTTCTTTTCCTTCTTCACGCGCAGCGTTGAGAGGTGCCGCCGCAGGATTGGGCATGATTCTGAGAGCATTTTCGGAGTGTGGTATGTTCAAATTAACAGTCCCAAGTGTTTGCACGCATGAATTACAGGGCGTTTTCGCCCATTGGTATACACATAGCTTTGACAGGACCTCAGGATGAGTTTGAATTACCCGAAAGTTCAAATTAATGAGATTCGACTGAGTTTATTTTCCATGGCACGCATGGTCGTGTAGCGGTACATCGGGTCACAAGGCGGTTTCCTTCTTTGCATGCTTATAGATGCGCGCCCATCTGAGCATACATTGCCACAAACTGTTATAATCGATAGAACGAAATAATGAATAAAACAAAATAACTGTGGCTCCCCTTCAACTTTGTTATAACGAGGTTTGAGTGTATAGGGAAGTATAAGTAAGAATTGCTGATGCTTACTAACACAAGTAAATGTAAGTATTTACCATGCCAGTGGCAAGTAATTATCTATGCTTTGCTGCTTTTCACTGTACAGCTCAGTCAGAAGGAAAATAGGGCTTGAACTTGGAAGTTTGACATGCAGTTTTCTCTTACTTATACAAGCAAATTGTCAGAACATAGCATGCAGAGTATATCATGTTCTTTGTCGCAACACATTTCACCAGCAAATGAGAATAACCTCTGAATAAAATGAAAAGCAAGCATATTTAGCCAGGGTTTGTTATATCGGCAAATTTGTTGAATCAGCTTGCAAAATTAAAAGAAGGGTGACAAATCAGCTACCTAGAACAGCTGCCATGCTGGGCCAGCAAACAGGTTCAGCGTAACAATGTAGCCCCCACAGAAAGTTACTTGTGACAGGGTGCTATTCAAACTTCTTGGAGACAGCATGCTGTTTAAAGCAGACAACTGCTCATTTACGAAGGTTAGTTGCACTTCATATAACATACTCTACAAACATAAACTAAGCAATTCAGTTTATATGTCCACAATACAAAACAGAGGCCGAAATTGTCAATTTTTATACTAGTGTAAATTTTCTTTGGCAGGGTGCAGTAGTTTGATTTAAGACACATAAGAATTGAAGCTAGCCCGCCGCCATTGCACGGGCTTTGACACCTATTTCTGCCGCTCTCATGTCCTGACATGACTCTCCCCTCCTTTGCAGTCTGCCCCGCTGGGGAACCGGGAGTCAGTATTCAACCCCTCTCACCTGGTAGCGGATGTCGGCTGTGGCACCATGCGCGGAAACTCTCGGGACGTTCGGCGCGCCCGTATTGGGACAGAGTGAGATCTCTCCGGGACATCCTAGGGTAAGCACGCATTTCTTTTCCGTCCATCAGCTCCTATTGTTTGGGGCTTTTCAGACTTAGCCAATGATGCCTTGCACCCGGAACAAACGCACACCTTTTGTTGCCCCTTTTGAACGTTAGGCTGAAGAGCGGTGCGGTGTCTCTGCGCATGGTCATACTACATCGACCTGTTCCTCTCAAGGCCAACGCGAGCGGAGTTTTGCCCTCGCTCGAGCGATCGGGCCCTGTTGTTCCGGTGTTAACGTGAATCACTTTTGGCCACAGAAACAGGCTTGCAGCACCTTGTGAAGTACTTCTCGCCTGTGGCATGAATAAGCCCATTTGCTTTCCCACCGCCCCTTTTGCAATGGGCTCTGTACTGTGTTTTGGGTGTTACCACAGACAATAAAGTGTTGCGACTTTGAACAGTACCATGTTCTCGCCATGGCGACGGTTAATGCGTGTCCTGCGGCTCGCTAAGACTGAACCCACGCTAGTGGCCGTGCTTCTTTGGGATACATGTACACTACAGACAAAGCTGTTCACAGAGTGAAATTTTATCAGAAGTGAATTAATTTGCATTGGCATGCAATGATGAAATAGAGGTGTCAATTTTGGAAGCTGTTACAGACATGCCAAGTTAAAAAATGAAGCACAGTGCCACATACATAAGGTCTTGCAGTCATTCTCTCTCTATGCCTTTCTGCACTGCAATTCACCAGTATGTCATGCCAACAAGTCCAAACAACCAAATTACCTAAATCACAGTTCAACAGCATGACCACCAATATATTCCAGCTTAAACCACCAAAAACAGTTGAAGCTGAAAACATCAGCCTATAGTACTTCAAGCAATTGCACCTGTCCTGTGGAGTCATGGCCTGGAGGAACTGCTTGGCCCTGTCTTCATTGTACTGGCTGCTCTCCAGGGCCATGTTGAGCAACGTCTGGGACACCGCAGGAAACTGTTCATGAAGGTGAGACACCACTGTAGGGAACAAAGAACAGTTTTAGAAGCATGTCCAATATTTTGCACTTACTATATCCAGAAGGTGAACCGTATTGTGTACTCTTAATTGCTTGCTGCATTGAATATACTACAGTATGGACTAGCATGTACTATATCGAGCTTGTGTAGCAGTAATAACATTGACACACAACACAACAGCACTCAATGCAAGCTGAAACACAGTGCCCGTGGTCCAAAGGGTTACAAAACTTTAGGAAAGTACTGCCATACAAAAAAAAACTGGTGAATTTAATGCTCTAATCCCTGGTACTTAATGTCAATGCTGCCATCCAGTTTTGAAGTCATTTGTCTACAGGCATCACGTTGCAACACACACGCTGAATACTTAAATTCTAGGCTTGTGCGAATAGTGAAATTTAGGTTCGAAGCAAATAGTGATTTTGATCGAATAATTTCGAATCAAATTCGAATGGTATATAAGACATATAAAAAAAAGGGAATATTTATCATGACCTAACTAACCTGCACAATATTTCTTTTGAATCGAAATAGAGGCTGTATGCAAATGCCATTTTTTTTTCATTCAAGGGAAGTCAAAACAACCTTCGGTAGGATGCAAGTGATAACCTGTAAGATATTTAATGTTTTCAAATTTATTATACTTGGAGCATATAAGCCGTCATAACAAGCTTAATAAAATGAAGAATTGATTTGAGGGTAACATGTTCCTTTAAAGGGTCCCTGCAACACTTTTTCAAGTAGCCAAGGAGCCAGTAAACATGCTTGTCGTCTCACAAATTTACCGCCACAAAGTTTCTAAAATTTCCCGACAAAATAACTGTAAACTAAGCAAGAAGGAATGGCACGGCGAAAGAAAATAAGTCACACGCGCCTCGTGACCTCAAGCACCTCTTTTTTTCTTTCTTCGAATACGCGGCTTTTCAGTGCAATTGCGCATGTACTCGTGGACAAGCGGCGGCCTGCCGTAGCGGCCCAAGTAAAGACGAGCGCGCCGTGCTCAAATCAACCAATGGCTGTGACCAGAGCTGTATATTCCTTCTTGACTGTGACAAGTAATTTTTGAGCTTGTAGCGTCATTTGCCGAGAGAAGAAAGCAATTTTTAGCTTTGAAAATTTATTGTGAATTACAGACTGCGTGCTGCGCGTTAATATTGGCCTTGCGTGTTCTCGGTAGCCTCGACTACCGATCGGCAGGGTTTTCTGACCATGATCAGTAAGTGTTGCAGCGCCCCTTTAAAGGGGTACTGACACAAAACTTCTGGGCTGAGATAGCCTGCGGCATCAATTCTCGTGAACATTCGTATATCATCTGCAAAATATTGCCACGTTCCCTTTCCCAAATTTTGTTATCGTCCCAAAACACTACACGATTCTCAGCGCAAACCGCGCCTGCAGTTTTCGAGAAGCTTCCGGACTGTAGTAGATCACTTCGATAAGATCACGCCCACTCTGCGAACGGTACAAATTATTTTGGAACCTACGCCATCGCCAGCGATAACGCTAGAACATTCGACGGCAACAGTATAAATGCCGACCCGCTTCGCCGCTTGTCAGTAGTTGATCGACGGCCGACGCTCCGTTCGCCGCTATCAGTTCAAGACTAGTTGCTACTGTAATCGGACTTTCCGTTTACCGGGCACAGGTTCGCCAAAATAAACAGTTAAATTCCAACGCAACGTCTCCTGTATTCGGCCACGTCACGACCCCGTGACATCTGGTGGAGGTGCTGCTTCTTTGATGTTCCGGACACCCCCTTCAAGCCGTGACCCCAGCCCAAGCGGCAAAGAAGACAAGGACGCTGACCCCGAACAGCGAACAAGCCGCAGGAAGAGGGGACTACAACCAGAGTACGGGCCACTTCCTGAAGCAGCCAGGCAGACCCGGATCCCGACATCAACTACTGCAACCATGACCGCCCTCGTGCAGCCTGCACCACTCCTGCTCCGGCAACTCAAAGAGCCGCCAACTTTCCACGGTTCACCACTGGAAGACCCAGAAAGAATGATGGAAAGGTTCGACCGCATCGCCGCCTTCAATGACTGGACAGACGGTGACAAGCTCCGGCATGTGTATTTCCCCTTAGAAGATGCTGCTCGGACCTGGTTCGAGAATCAAGAGCGAAGCCTTACAACATGGGACGTCTTTCGTGCCAGGTTTCTCACTACTTTCGCAAGTGTGGTGCGCAAGGAGAAGGCCGCAGCTCTTCTTGAAACCCCCATGCAGATGCCAAACGAAAACGTGGCGCTATTCTCGGAAGACATGATTAAACTTTTCCGCCACGCTCACTCCTACATGTCCGAGGAGAAGAAGGTCCGTCTGCTCATGCGAGGAGCAAAGCAGAAACTCTTCGCCGGGCTGATCAGAAACCCGCCAAAGACGGTCACCGAATTCAACACTGTCGAAATTTGGGCTTGTTGGTGCATTGTGACGACTGAAAATAGCGCTAAGAAACGGGGACACAAGACGAGGACACACGGCACAAGCGCTAACTTCCAACATAATGTTTATTACCACCGCACGCTCGCCTATATCACCAAGAAAAATAACATCACATGACATGAATGTCATTTTACCTCAAGACGACCTACATTTCATGGGATGACAAGCCTTTTATTCAAAAGGACGGAATCTGTATTGGGTCTCGCATTGCGCCCATTTTAAGCGACATATTTTTAAGTAGAATTGACAGATCGATTCACCTACATCTTGATAGTTTGAAGATAAAAAAAGTGTTCCGGTATGTCGATGACTATCTGGTTTTATTAACTAACGACACGATAGCGGACGAGGCAGGTTTGGCAAAAATAATTTCACATTTTTCTGAGTGTTTTAAACCCTTGACTCTCACACACGAACTGCCTGAGAGCAATGCCATAAAATTCCTCGATGTCTTCTTCACCTTTCATCCTAACCGCATATGTTGAACATACCAACCACGTATGAACAAACCAATCCTTCCTTACCAATCAGCTCACTCTAAACTAGTGAAAAGAGGCATCATCAGTCATTGTTTTCGTCATGCTTTAAGCAAATCTTGTGAGCACGAAATCGCCAATAGTTTTCATAATCAGTCAGACCGTTTGTTGAAAGCAGGTTATCCTATGCACGTCCAAACTTCAGTTGCAGAAAGCTTGCTTCGTACGCTTCGCAACCCAGGATGTACAGCGAGTCGTGATTCCGAGAAACCGAAGTACCTAGTCGTCATACCATACTATCACAAGATATCACACAACCTAAAGAAATTAGCTAAACGCTCTGAAGTTAGGGTAGTCTTTTCGGCTCCCAAGAAGTTGGTCAGCCTTTGTGGCCTTCATGACCGTGACGGAAAACCCAAAGGTTGTAGTAGGAAGCATCGAACTGTTTATGTTCCCTGTATCATATGCGTTGTTTATCGTATCTCGCTTTCTTGTGGTAAAGAGTATATTGAACAGACGGGCCGTTGCCTTAATGATCGATTAAGAGAACATTGTAATAATGTGAAAAACGGCCAGGGGAGTTGGTTGGCCATACATTGTAAATCCTGCGGCTGCGCGCCGATATTCAATGCATGCACAGTTATCAAGAGAATGTTTGACAAGCTTACTAGAGAGATTATTGAGGCTGAGGCTATCGCTTCACGGGGGTCTAAGTGCGTCAGCACTCCCTCTCTTACGCTCAGTGATAAAGAATTGTATTAATTAATTAATTAATTTAATTAATTTTTTGTGCGCATCATTCATGTCATGTGATGTTATTTTTCTTGGTGATATAGGCGAGCGTGCGGTGGTAATAAACATTATGTTGGAAGTTAGCGCCTGTGCTGTGTGTCCTCGCCTTGTGTCCCCGTTTCTTAGCGCTATTTTCAGTCGTCACCGAATTCATTTCAGAAGCATCTACAATAGAGAAGACGCTCGAGATGCGCACGCGGCAATATAACCGTAGCTTCTCGTCTACAAGCTGCACCGGCATTCAAGCGCTTGGAACCACTGAATAGCGGGAGACGATCCGAGCGATTGTGCAAGAGCTGCAAAAATTACTTTCTTCAGCAAAGCCTCACGTGGAATCCATCGCGGACATCGTATGCCAGGAGATCCAGCAATCGCTGGGCATCTCTCAGCCTCAACAGCCTCAGCTGCAAGTCATGAACTATGCTGCTGCAGCCCGCCGCCACACCCCTCCTCCACGCGCACGCCAAAACACTGCCCCATCGCACTTCCGTCGCCAGACGCCACCGCCACCACCACCCCCACCGACGCCCTACCATTCGCCAGCGGCCCAGTGCAGTGCGCCGAGGAAGACTGACGTCTGGCGCACCCCTGACTACCGCCCGCTCTGCTACCACTGCGACGAGGCCAGACACACACACCGCCGTTGCCAGGACCGACAGATGGGACTGCGTGGCTTTGCCGTCAATGCACCGCGTCCGCAGCCAGGAGAACGGCCACGTGACATCGCCGACTACCTGACAGGAACTCAATGGATACCATGAAGTCCTTCCCGTTCACCGTCGCCCAGCCACTGCATGTCACCGCACCCCCGGCAGTACTCTGGCCCAACGCGGGGCCGGTCTCCTAGCCCGTATCCGGGAAACTAAGGGCAGCAACCGATGGAGGTGCGGTTGCTGTGCGACTGTGATGCGGGGTTCTTTGGTTTCTGATTTGTTTTTCTCCCGGGCTGAGCCTCAGAGAGTTTTGTTAATAAGGACAAAGCCGTTCGGTTTCCAAGAAACACACAAAAAGTTTAATTGAAAAGAAAAAAGGCAAAGATTCCTCACAAAACAAAACACTTAATAAACAGTTGACTGGACATGACGAAACACATCTGTAAACATCCAACAAAAACGTTCAAAGTCAGTAACTAAACCTAACGTTCGAAAGGGGCTGAGTGATGGGAGTAGCGCAAGATATCTGTTCGGTCTCACCCACACGCTGAATTCCGCCGACGATGAGCAAACCGGAACGCGGTGATTCCGGCTTCAGGACGCGGGCAGGACGGGGATGAAGGAACGCTGGCTGCTG